ATCCTTTGTCCACTTTTTGACGGGGTTTTTTTCTTCTTGTAAATTTGCTTAAGTTCCTTGTAGATTCTGGATATTAGGCCTTTGTCAGATGGATTCATTGCAGAAATTTTCTCCCATTCTGTAGGTTGACTATTCACTCTGATAATAGTTTCTTTCGCTGAGCAGAAGCTCTTTAGTTTAATTAGATCTCATTTGTCAATTATGGCTTTTGTTGCAATTGCTTTTGGTGTTTTAGTTATGAAGGCTTTGCCAATGACTTCCACACAGGAAGGGGAACATCACACACTGGGGCCTGTTGGGGGGTGGGGGGAAAGGGGAGGCAGAGCATTAGGATAAATACCTAATGCATAAGGAGCTTAAAACCTAGATGATGAGTTGATAGATGCAGCAAACCACCATGGTACATGTACACCTATGTAACAAATCTGCATGTTCAGCACATGTATCCCAGAACTTAAAGTAAAATTAAAAATAAATAAATAAATAAAACAAAATTTTAAAATGCCATTTTAATATTTAACTTTCCTATTAAACACTTTTATCTGGAAAAACAAAAAGAAAGAAAAGAAAAAGGAAGTGAGGGAGGGAGGGGCACAAGAGGGATGGAGAGAAGGGAAAGAAAGACAGTGAGCCTCTTGAAATAAATGACCATGTATTACTCACTTTTTATTTTGTGCCTCATTAAATTCATTCATCATCATTGCCATTTGTGAGTTCATACAATATACCAGTTACTGAAGAAGATCAGTGCTTGACTGCCCTCACCATCAAGGAGCTTACAGTCAAGACAGAATGCCAATGAATGACATCAGTTGTTGTAACAGTGTGAGAACAGCCAAAGGACAGCAGGGCCACACTGCTCTGAAGCTCATCACTCTGGAGCCCAGGTTAAAAGTCTACTGTCACTTCCTGGCTGCATGACTGAGTAAGTTATTAGCACCACCCATGGGACTACTGTGGAGATGTAGTTAAAAGATGAGAGCCTGGGCAACATAGCAAAACCCTGTCTCTACAAAATAAATAAATAAATAATTAGCTGGTGTGGTGGTGCATGCTGGTAGTCTCATCTACATAGGAGACTGAGGCAGGAGGATTGCTTCAGCCTGGAAGTAGAAGCTGCAGTGAGCCAAGATTACATCACTGCACTCCAGCCTGGGCAACAGAGAGAGACCCTGCAAAAAGAAAGGGAAGGGATGGGAAGGGAAGGGAAGGGAAGGGAAGGGAAGGGAAGGAAAGGAAAGGGAAGGGAAGGGAAGGTAAAGGAAGGGAATGGAGGGGAGGGGAGGGAAGGTAAAGGAAGGGAATGGAGGGGAGGGGAGGGAAAAGAGAGAGAGAGGAAGGAAGGAGGGAAGGAAGGAAGGAAGGAAGGAAGGAAGGAAGGAAGGAAGGAAGGAAGGAAGGGAGAGAAGAAAGGAAAGGAGAGCCAGGCATGGTGGTACACACCTACAGTTTCAGCTACTCAAGAGGCTGAGGCAGGAGGATTACTTGAGCCCAGGAGTTCCAGGCTGTAGTGTGCCATCATTGGGCCTGTGAATAGCCACTGCACTCCAGCCTGAGCAACATAGCAAGACTCCCATCTCTAAAAAGAAAAAAAAAATAAGGTCATGGGAGACCAGAAGTGCAACTGACACATAGTATTTAATGCATATTAGTTATGAATATTACATTTATGTACATATATATGCATAATAGATACATATATATGCACACACATACGCATAACAGGTATCCACTGCAGAGTGCAATGGGAGCACAGAAGCTGAGAAACTAAACTTGAGTCTACAAGGCTTCCATGAAGAGATGACCTCAGAGCCCAATCTTCAAGAATGAGTAAGAGAGAGGTGGAAAAGCAGAGGAAGACTGATTCAGGCTGACTCCCCAGTGCACATAAAAACATGAAAGGAGAAAACATGAGTCACTCCAGACGGCCCTGGGAGGGCCTCCGATAAATGCATTGGAGAGGCAGGCAGGAGCTGAATCACTCAGGGCCCTGCTAATGAATTCAGACCTTGCCTCAGGTCGGTGTAGGGCTGTGGAAAGAGTTTAAGCTGAAACCTGCCATGGATGGTTTGGCACTTTCTAAATCAACCACATCTTTCATAGTATTAGCCAGTGATAACCAATTTCAGATCAGGTCATGATCCGGAGGCCCTGTAGGATGCTAAACTAGTTCAACTGTTATGGAAAACAGTATGGCGATTCCTCAAGGATCTAGAACTAGAAGTACCATATGACCCAGCCATCCCATTACTGGGTATATACCCAAAGGATTATAAACCATTCTACCATAAAGACACATGCACACGGATGTTTATTGCGCCACTATTCACAATAGCAAAGACTTGGAATCAACCCAAATGTCCATCAGTGACAGACTGGATTAAGAAAATGTGGCACATGTACACCATGGAATACTATGCAGACATAAAAAAGGATGAGTTTGTGTCCTTTGTAGGGACATGGATGCAGCTGGAAACCACCATTCTCAGCAAACTATCGCAGGAACAGAAAACCAAACACCGCATGTTCTCACTCATAGGTGGGAACTGAACAATGAGATCACTTGGACTCAGGAAGGGGAACATCACACACCAGGGCCTATCATGGGGAGGGGGGGGGAGGGGGGAGGGATTACATTGGGAGTTATACCTGATGTAAATGACGAGTTGATGGGTGCTGACGAGTTGATGGGTGCAGCACACCAACATGGCACAGGTATACATATGTAACAAACCTGCACGTTATCCACATGTACCCTAGAACTTAAAGTATAATAAAAAAAAAAAAAAAGAAAGACTGTTGAGGGTCATAGACTTCTATGGCAACGTATATTTATTATAATTCTTTGGGAAGTGATAAATCCTTTCTTTGTGGAAAAGACTCATCTCTTTTTCTATTATCTTTGAAAGTACTAGAACAATACATGGACACATGAGATTTGCCCAACAAATACCAATTGGTCATAACCTATGCACATTACATATGATGACTTTTTGCTATTTAAGGTAGTTAACGGCCTCTTTGGTGGAAAGTAGAGATGAGGGTAGGGGGCTGGACTATACCATAGCAAGATGTTAAAGGACAAATGCCACTTAGGGTATTTGTTAGAAGGTTGACTTCAGTGTAATGGAGGGCTGTTCATTTAAATCACAAAACCTATTAGAAAGCTGTTCTGTTCAGACCAGTTGATTTTTTCTGATTTCTGGTAATACAATGTGGAATTAGCAATAGAATTATATTCCCTTTAATTTGGAGGTGAAAAAAGGAGTGAAAACAAAATAAGACACACTTTAGTGGGGAGAAGAACCAGTGAATCCATGGAGGAATGTGGTCTGGAGGATCTGCTAGGGAAATGAACCCTCCAAAACAACAGTATCTTGACAGTCATTGAACCTAGGCTCACTTATTCATTCATTCAACAAATATTTATTGAGCCCATTCTATATCCAAGATGCTACACAACGGTGAACAAAACTGACACCATCTTGTTCTGAACCTCATGAAGATTACACCGAAGCAGGAAAAATAGGCTTTATAAAAATGAACACACTAATAAGTACATAATGAGTTGTGATAAGTGCTATGAAGGAAAACGATAGTGTCCTGTGCTATGAAAAAGAAGAAAGGCCTGCCTTAGGCTGGTGTCAAGGAAGATTTTCCTGAGGAACAGTCAAAAATCAGGAGTAGGAAAAAGCCAGGACAGGACGGATTGGGAGAGGCTGCAGGCAGGGGAGGGCCTCAGGTGGAAAAGAGCTGTGTGAATGTGAGGAACAACAAGTTGGAGGTGTGGATCCTGGAGGCATGAGGAGGAAGGGGCCACAGGTACAAGGACCAATTTGTGCAATAGGAAAGAGTGAGAAATGAAGTGGGCCTTCAGTGGAGGTCCACAGCCTCTCTACCAGTCAACACACTCAGTCAGTCCTGGCAGCTCAGGCCAGAAAACATTGTCAGCCACGGCAGCCGTAACTGTGTCCAAAGGTATTTGAACCAGAGCCACTCCATCTTGAACAGGAACTGAGTAAAATAAACCTGAAACCTACTGGGCTGCCTTCCTAGGTGGTTTGGCATTCTTAGTCACAGGATGAGATAGAAGTTGGCACAAGGTACAGGTCACAAAGACTGCTGATGAAATAGGACTCAGTAAAGAGGCCAACCAAAACCCACCAAAATCTAGATGGTCATGAAAGTGACCTCTGGTCGTCCTCATTACTCATTAAATGCTAATTTTAATGCAATAGCATGATAAAAGACACTCCCACCAGGGCCATGACAGTTTACAAATGCCAAATGCCATGGCAACGTCAGAAAGTTACCCTATATGGTCTAAAAAGTGAAGAAACCCTCAGTTCTGGGAATTGACCACCCCTTTCCTGGAAAACTCATGAATAATCCACCACTTGTTTAGCATATAATCAAGAAATAACTACAAGTATAATCAGCTGAGCAGCCCACACAGCTGCTCTGCCAATGGAGTAGCCATTCTTTTTTGTTGTTGTTCTTGTTTTTTGTTTTTGGGGATTTTTTTTTTTTTTTTTTTTTTTTTTTTGAGACAGAGTCTGGCTTTGTCACCCAGGCTGAAGTGCAATGGCGCAATCTCGGCTCACTGCAACCTCCGCCTCCGGGGTTCAAGTGATTCTCCTGCCTCAGCCTCCCGAGTAGCTGGGATTACAGGCGTACCCCACCACGCCTGGCTAACTTTTGGTATTTTTAGTAGAGAGGGCGTTTCAACATGTTGACCAGGCTGGTCTGAACTCCTGAGCTCATGTGATCTGCCTGCCTTTCCCTCCCAAAGTGTTGGGATTATGGGGGTGAGCCACCGTCCCCGGCCTGTTTCTTTACTTCCTTAATAAACTTGCTCTCACTTTAGGGACTCCCCCCAGATTCTTTCTTGCGCGAAGTCCAAGAACCCTCGCTTGGCGTCTGGATCGGGACCCCTCTCTGGTAACAAGTAATGTCGGTATTAAAGGTACCCCCACATGTCAACGGCTTCCCTCCACAAGTCAGAGTTGGGGAGGGACAGGAGGCAGGAGGGAACCGACAAAGAGCAATGGAAAGAGAAGGCCTGGGAGCCAAGCAGGCCTGGGGTTGACTCCGGGCTCCCTTAGTGGCCTGCACGACTCAGATGACCCGTCTGTGAAGTGCAGGTCACAGTGGGCGCCCCACAGGGCTGCAGAAAGGAGTGCAAAGGTGATGCCCACGCCGGCCCAGGGCGGGGGCGCAATACACGGCTGTTGCTGCTGTGATTGCTGCAGGAAGGGAGTCATTTGGAAGGCACAAAGGAACTATAACCTACTTGGTGTCGGGACAAGCCTTAAGGACGGGGCGGGGATTCCAGCCAGAGCTAGGTTCCAGCCTGGGTTGCCACCAACAGCGAAAGTGACTGCCAGGTGGCAGTAGGGTGACTTCACCAGCTTCAGTGCTTAGCGGGCAGGCGAGGAGGCGGAGCAAAAGAAGAAAACACAAAGGACGGGGAGGAAGCCGGGGAGACAGGTGGGGTACTCGGGAGGCTGGAGCTGGCCGGCCGTGCAGTCGCGGAGGAGCGAGGCCTGCAGGGCTCGGCAGCGAGGGACTCGGCCTCAGAGGCGACCCTGACCACACAGGTGAGCCCCCGTCCCGGCGGGTGTTAACGGCGGGAGGGAGTGGCCTTGGGGGAACGCTGCTCCGCAGGGCAGTCCTTTGAAGGCGGCGCGGCGCAACGTTGGCCGCCCCCCACTCCCCCTTTGCTCGGACCCTGGCGACCCCGGCGGGGGCTAGGGGCTGGAGAGCGTGGGGTGGCGCTGGCTGCTTCTGGCCAGGGATGGCGGCGGACTCCAGTAGGCTGACTCCCGGCTCCCCCGACTGGACCAGAAAGTGCGGTGTCGCCCGCCCGCCGTCCAGCCGGGCAGGCGCCCCACTCCACTAAGAAGCACCCCCGCCCCCCATGCTGCGGCGCTCTTTTCTCCGCACGTCCGCCGGTCAGCACCCACGAACCCACGAACCCACGGGTCCCTTCCCCACCACTGAAGACACAGAGGGTCCCCGGACCACCCCGGCGTGGGGGGTCGGAGCTACACCTGCAAGACAAGACCCTCAGAAGGCTTGCTTTTAGGTGTAGACTGAGGACTAAGTGGGTGCCAGGGGACCTGGCCACCGAAGCTGAGAGGTATCTTTGCCTCCCAATATAGGGCAGCGGCCTAATGGCTAAGCAAAGATAATCTAATTTGGCCTGGTCAGCAAAGACTTCCTGGGAATGCTCAGGAAATGGAAGGCGTGCAGGGCCACTCTGACAGCCGCCCCTTCGTGCGTTCAGACTCAGCCTGCTGGGTGCTGAGCGGGGGGCTTTATGGAGCATCCCTCATCCTCATCCTCATCTTCATTCCTGCAACGGCCCCTCACCATTGTTGGTCCATTATGCCCACTTAACAGTGGAGAAAGCTGAGGCACAGACGGATTAAGTCATTTGCACCAAAGCGCAGGGATGGCAGGGGGAAAGAGTCGCGATTTGAACTCTGGTCTCTCTGATCCCAGTACTTTCCCATGCAGGGCACTGTGGTGCCCCTGTAATCACATTAGGCACCTGCGATGAAACTTGGTGTGAGTACGGGTCCCCTTGGCTCAAATGCCTGGAAGTTTAGTAACTGATGTAGGAAACAGAATTGTGTATAAGAGGTTCATTTCGCAGAAGAAAAGCAGAGGTAGTGGTGGAGTTCAGGGCTGCAGAATGCAGTGGCCACCGGGGGCAGGAGGAGGCTCAAAGTCCACCTGGATTATGTCCATAATTGCCAGATCCAGGGTCCACTTTTCTAAGCCATGTAATGATGTTGATGATTCACTGCCTCCTTCAGAAATTCCCTCCCCTCTATATCAGCTATTCCTTCTCAGTCATTTCCTTGGCCTGCTTTTTTTTTTTTTTTTTAAATATTTCTTTCTTCTCTTTTCAATATTCCCTTGGGCTCAATGTTCATATTCTCCAATACTGTTTTTAGACACACTTGTTCAAGTTCCCTGCTTTAACTTTCATCTCTATGATGGCAGCTCCCAACTTCATTTCTCAAGCCTACCCCTGTTCTGGAACTCCAGACCCAAATTGTCATATATCAACAGTGGCTAATTCCACTGTTTTCCCCCACAGGCACCCAAATCCAACATTTCCAAACCCAAATTTAGCATCTCTATCAAAGACGCTAAATTCCCACCAAGGTCTTTGTTCAGGTTCCTGTAACTCCTTGCCTGCACTAGTGCACCACCTTCCAACCTCATCCTCCTGCCCCAGAGTCCATCTACCCTCCACAGATCGTCCTGAAAGCTTAGGAGTCCTAGTTCCTTTTGTGACCTGACTAGATGGAATGAACCCTGCTTTTTTTTCTTCCCTAGCATCCTGTGCACACCTCGAGGGAACCCTTTTCATGTTGTGTAACTGTTGACTTGTCTATCTCCCCTTTTGGACTGTGAATTCCTTCAGTGGTGATCTTGTCTTATCCTTCTTCATATCCCCTGGCCTGGCACATAATCGACACTCAGTGCACAGTGTGGTATTTCACTCTATTCTAAATCTGATCTGTCCCCATTAGTGAGTGAATGTGTGTGTGCTAGTGGAAGAGGAGCACTAGAAACTGAGTTTGCAGATGGACTAATGACAAAAGGAAAAATGAGTTTTCCAGATAACTCCAGTGGATCCTCAGGATGCTTTTAAGCTTGATACAAACATTCAGTCATGGCATAGTGATTCTCTTCTAGGTTCCTTACACACTGGGTCAAGGAGTAAGCAGAGGATAAACTACTGGAAGGAGAGCAAATACAAAGTCATCATGGCTTCAGCGTCTACTCGTGGAAACCAAGATAAAGATACCCATTTGCCACCACCAAGCAAGCAGGTATGCTTTTATCTTTATTGATCAATTCATTGATTGAGACACGATCTCACACTGTCACCCAGACTTGAGAGCAATCATGGCTCACTGCAGTCTCGAACTGCTGGATTAAATGATCCTCCTACTTGAGCTTCTCACTTAACGGGGATGAGAGGTACAGGCCCCCATGCCTGGCTAATTTTTTGGGGGGTTAGACATGAGGTCTCACTGTATTGCCCAGGCTGGTCTCAAATACCTGGCCTCAATTAATCCTCCATCTAGGCCTGCCAAAGTGCTGGGATTACAGGCGTGAGCCACCATGCCTGGTCAGGTATACTTTTAATTGCAGGACCTGCCATCTGAAAAAATATATATCATAGAGGATTTTGATTAAATTTCATCTTTAACCAGTCATCTTATTTTTTTCAGTCTGGCACTGTGTTGGATGGGCTCAGGGAAAACAGGATGGGGAAGGAAAGTGTGTTTTCAGCTGCTTTGAAAAGAAGCTGACATTTAAAATTTAAAATTTTATTTACAAAATCCTTTCTATACTCTTTCCTGTTTGGAATCCAGCCTTACTAACTCTTAGATGAACTGTCAGTAACTGAAGAGGTTTCTGAGAGCAGAGCAAAACTCTTAATAGACTCTAACAGAATTATGTATGTTGCTTATTTATTTATATTTATTCATTCATTTATTTTTTAGAGATGGAGGCTCCATTATATTGCCCAGGCTGGTCTCAAACTCCTGAGCTCAAATGATCCTCCCACCTCAGCCTCCCAAAGTGCCAGGATTACAGGTGATATTTTGCTTATTTTTTACATTTTTACTTATTTACATTTATTCAGGGTGGCAGAGTCCTTAATTACTAATTAGCTAGCAGATTGAGAACCGAAGTGTTAACATGGAAATAATTTTTCAATTTGTTAGGAATGGATACTGTGTATTTCAGGAATACGTCAATGAAGAAAAGAGAAAGCATTTGATGGGTCAATGACATTCATGTTCAAGCTAAAAATAGTGTATGGAGGCAGTAATTTTCAAGGAGCAAAGTTTAGGCGAGGCAAACAGAAAAATGATAGAAAGTCACAAGGAGAATTATTTGGACACCTGAGTTGCCTCTGTGAAATGGGGAGTCATCAAACATTCATGGCTATACAGAAAATGATAACCAGAGCTCCTTTTGTTTTTGTTTTTGTTTTTGTTTTGAGATGCAGTCTCACTCTGTCATCTAGGCTGGAGTGCTGTGGCACAATTTTGGCTCACTGCAACCTCCACCTCCCGGGTTCTAGCGAATCTCCTATCTCAGCCTCCCAAGTAGCTGGGATTACAGGAACCTGCCACCATGCCCAGCTAATTATTGTATTTTTAGTAGAGATGAAGTTTCACCATGTTGGCCAGGCTGGTCTTGAACTCCTGACCTCAAGTGATCTGGCCGCCTCAGCCTCCCAAAGCCTGGGATTACAGGTTGACTGCAGGACTGGAAGCAATTGTGATAGCCAGGGTGTGTGCATTTGTTTATTTAGGGGAGGCAGTCCTTATTTCTGCCCCAGGCACTGCCAAGAGCAAGAGCAAATATTCACCCTGGGCATCTGGAGGCATGCCTGTGCTGAGGAAGGAAAGTAGGTAGAGACTGAGAGCAACTCCTTCTCCTGCTGCTGTGACTCACCCTGTGACTTACAGCATCTTTGCACTGTGCCTTGGGGAATTGCAGGGAGAGAAGAGGGAGGTTGCCCACCTGGGCTGCTTGTAGAGCTCCACAGACACTGGTGCCAGAGGGTTTCTCCACCCCTTTCATTGACATCATGCATGTAAAGTGCTTGGCACAGGACCAGGCACATACAAAGTGCTCAAGAAATGGTGACCATCTTATATATTGACATCTATTTCACAGAAAGAGTCTAAAAAGACAGTGGCAAGATCAGCACAATCAAAGTACGCTTCAAGAGTTAAGGAGCTGCACCTCAACCAGAAAAACACTAAAACCCTGGAGATAAATAGCAAATAACCCACATAAATAATTCACAAACAAGGAAACACAAGTGTGACTTCTATAGTAAGGAACAAGTTAAATTAAAAAAAAAAAAAATTAATGGGGCTAGGCATGGTGACTCATACCTATAACCCCAGCACTTTGGGAAGCCAAAGCGGGACAATCACAATCACTTGAGGCCAGGAGTTCAAGACCAGCCTGAGAAACATAGTGAGAACCCCTAACCTATTTAAAAAATGGTTTTTTTTAATTAGTCAGGCATGATGGTGTGCACCCATAGTCCCAGCTACTCAGGAGGCTGAAGTGGGAGGTTAACTTGAGCCCAGGAGTTCGAGGCTGCAGTGAGCTATGATGGCACCACTATACTCCAGTCTGGGTGACAGAGCAAGACCCTGTCTCTAAAAAAAATAAAAATAAAAATAAAAATAAAATGGTCAAAACGGCAAATGTTACAATATGTTATAACATATATAAATGTTATATATGTATGTATTTTTCCACAAAAAAAATTAATGAGCCAATATATAAGAAAAGATTACAACCCAGATCCAATTACAGGAATTGCCTGACAACCAGAGGAGAAGAGCAGTGTAGCTGAAAAATATGTAGAGATAGTCAAACACATTCATTATCAAAGAAGTACAAACAAGATAATAAATATTACTTTATACCTATCAGCTTAGAAAACTGGATAATTCCAAGTGTTAGAAAATTCTTTCTTTAACTTGCTTGGAATCTTCTTTACCCATACCTAGCTCTTACACAGGCTACGTAGCCATAAGGGAATGTTCAGGCCCTGCAGGTAGGAGTGGAGACTGCAGTCATTGAAGAGAGTGGTCAGCAAGACTCTGTCACAGTGAGAATATGCACACCCTGAGCTTTACTTCTAGATTCATGTCTGAAAAATGTTCTCTCATGGGTCCATAGAGGAGCATGAGGTGGTGGGAACTTGGAGGCATTGTGCACAGTTATGTAGCAGTTAGAAGCAGCAGACTAGATGAATACAGCAACATGGGTGGACCTTAAAAGCAAAGAGCTGAGTTGAGAATGTTTTAAGAATAAAATATATAAAACAGTGCTATTTACATTAAAAAGATATATTCACCCAAAATAATGAACATTTTGCAAGAATGGACAGAAATAAAACATTAAACACTCAGAATGGTTGTGATGGGCAGAGGGGAAGGAGTGGAGAATGTGGACAAGAGCGAGTGATTAAAGCTATGTACCTACAAAGCGAAAGGAATGGTAAAAGATGGGAGTTGGTCTAGATGATAACATATGAACTTGATTGAAAAAACACTGCAAGTCTGGCCGCAGTGGCTTACGCTTGTAATCCTAACACTTTGGGAGGCCGATGAGGGCAGATTGCTTGAGCTCAGGAGTTCGAGACCAGCCTGGGCAACATGGCAAAACCCCATTGTCGCTATAGTCCTAGCTACTAGGGGAGCTGAGACAAGAGGATTGCTTGAACCTGGGAGGTAGAGTCTGCAGTGAGCCAAGATCACGCCCTTGCACTCCAGCCCAGGTGACAAATGAGACCCTGTCCAAAAAACAAACAAAAAAAACACTGCAGAACCTACTATGTACCCACAGCAATTAAAATATTTTAAAATTTTTTAATAAATAAATTCCAAAAAATACTACAGAACTAATAAACATAGTTATGTCAATCATGTCGATAGTTGCACCATAAATTATGTGCACACCACTTATAAATGTGTAAAAAAAAAAGCCTCCAGACTGAAAGTAAACTATGTCAAATAATAAAAAGCAGTCCACAGTCTAAAAATGCATACAGAAGTTCGTGTACATAGGTTCTCTGAGTGTGATGCTCGATGTCTAAATACTGTGTGCTATAGGGAAAATCTCTTTCCTCACCCAGGAGACAATGTTCAGCTGGGTGTTAAGACCAGTCAGGTGACGAGAGTGAACAGCATTCTAGGTACAGTAAACCACATAGAGGCATGGAGGTAGGGAAGGAAATGTGGCCTCAGCAGGGATTCAACCTGACGACAAATTTGCTGCCTGCGCCAGTCAGTGAATCACTCCCACTCTCCAACTAGAATTCTTCTGCTGTCTAAGTCCATCAGTGTTCCCAGTGAGAAAGCACTCTTGGAAATTTATCATTGCTTTGGGCTGCCTCCGGTACAGAACACACATTGTGTTACAAGTGAAGAGACCTCCCTGTTCACTTCTGGAGAAAACAAATGGGTGATTTTCGGATGATCTCAGTTAGCTCACCATATAACTTTCCTTACAGAGCCTGTTGTTTTGTCCAAAATCAAAACTGCACATCCACAGAGCAGAGATCTCAAAGATTATGCGAGAATGTCAGGAAGAAAGTTTCTGGAAGAGAGGTAATTGTACTTAACATTGTATTTGTGGCAGTAAACTGCCTAAATATTCATATTAGAATTGTGGTAATGACTTACGTTTGAGCAGAGACTTTGCATAAATATCTGATGAACTCTGATATTCAGGGATGTTTAGAGTTTAAATCCAAGTTCAGACCTTTTTTAAGGCAGAGATAATATCTGATTAAGGAGCACTTTACCTCACTTAGCAAAAAATGATGCACACGTAATTATTCCCTTTACCAAGAATATGTGACCAAGAATGTGTACCAAGACAATTATTTAGAATTTGTTGATTCCCAAAGAGTAGACCTTCCTACATTCTGCTGGACTCTAAGTTTCACAGGGTTCAGAAATAATGTCAAGTTCATCTGGACCTTCATTCTATAGCCTAGCACAGTGCCCTGTTCATAGAAATACCTAATCGATATTTCTCAAATGAATGAAAAATGGCCACGTTCCATTAATACTTCTCTTACACTGTCTCTGAAATAACATTTTCAGCTGAGTCACTTCCTCTTTCTGAGCCTGCCTCACATAAGACAATCAGGCTGTGCATTAAGGTCTCTTCAAATTAAAAAAATGTGTAATTCAGTATTTGAAAATGGCATAGTAGAACCTGTAGATACAGTCTTGATATTTTGCAACATTGCTGATGTGTGGATAATGTATACTTTGAAATACTCATTTTGATTTCTTAAGTCATTCAAATTTAGTATCACCTGTTTGGGAAATAACACTAGAAGCTGATATTCATTATACATTATAGGATTACTGACTGTGCTTCTAGAAATTATGTGTTTTCTGACAACCTATGAGTTGTCAGAAAATTTAATTGGGCCCTAGTAGACTAACACTTCAGTATGACCCATTTGCCCACTATAGGGTAGCTATGAGTGGAAAAATTGGTTGCTATTTGATCTGTCTTGGTTGAACTAGAAAGAGCTACATGTTTATCACTACTCTCTGCTTTTGAAAGAAGTTATTTGACACATATTGATGGACAGAACTAGAAACTGCCTTTCCCAGACTAAATTTTCTGTTTTAAAATTATAGCTAAACATTACACGTTTAACATGAACATAGTCATCTTGTGATCTTTAATTTGGATCTTCAGGCAAATACAAATTGTAAGACAAAATGTCATGAAAAAGAAAAAGAAAGACAAGGAACTGTCCTAGACTAAATCAAATAGGAGAATATGTGTAATGTATGATCCCTGAATTTCTGAGTTGGAAAAAGCCCACAGCTATTGGGCCAGTTGGAGAGATTTGAATAACGATTGTGTATAAGTTAATATAATTTTTCTTGAGTACGAGTGTTCAAGAAATATAAATGTTTTGACCATGCTAATGGTGGTGTAATTACGTAGGGAAACATTCTAGTTTTTAGAAGACACCTGCTGAAGTATTTAGTGACAGAGTCATAATGTTTGCAAATCTCAAATGGCTCAGACAAAAAAGGAAAAATTAGATAAAGCAAACTTGGCAAAATGTTCACAATTAATGAATCTAGATGAAAGGTATGTAGGAGTTTATTATATTGCTTTTTAACATTTGTGTAGGATTGAAAATTTCAAAATACACACATAGCTAAAGGCAACTCCCAAATTCAACAGGTAAATGTACATATACCCTAATATGCCTTTATTATATGTAGTGCTTAGAATCTTGTGCATGATGGCATTCAGTACAAGTGGATGTTAGACATGAAGTAGAATAGGGTTCAAATTAATGCTGTGCCTCGGGGTAAGTGACTGGGGAAGATTCCAAGAAAATTCTCCATACTGCACTTAATAAATATTTGTTGAATAAGTAAAATAACAAATGAACAAAAATTCACTGCCAAGGAAGGTAAGAGAAAAAACTCAGAATAATTCTCCCTAACTTCTCGGTGAGGTGCCAATTTTTAAAATACCAATATTGAAGGACATTTTTGCTTTACAGCTCTGCCTTTTTCTCTTGTAAGCATGCTTGTCACCCAGGGACTAGTCTACCAAGGTAAGATTCTATATTTGTTAAATAATCTAATTTCAGAGAGCCCAGTTTTCTGTGACCCTCCTGGAAGCTTTTTGGCTCTTGACATTTATTTTTTGGTGAAGGATGTTTTTCCACAGACTTCTGTCTATTTTCAGCCTAAGTCCCTATCTCCCCAGAAAGCATCCTAATCCCCAGAATTAGTGAATATATTAGGTTACATGGCAAAAGGAAATTAAAGTTGCAGATGGAATTAAGGTTGTTAATCACCTGACCTTAAAATAGGGAGAGTATCCTGGGTGATACAAGTGGGCCCAGTGCAATTGAAAGGGTCCTTAAAAGTGAAAGGCAGGATCTGAAGGTAGAATCAGAGAGGTGGCAATGTGAGGCGTCAGCTCAACATTGTTAGCCTTGAAGATGGAGGAAGGGACCATTAGTGGAGGAATGTGGGCAGCCTCAAGAAGCTAGAAAGGTAAGAAACCCTCGAGCCTTCAGATAGGAATGCAGCCCATTTAAGGAACACAGTTAAAACCTTGGTTTTCATCCAGCAAGACCCATTTTGACCTCAAGAACTGTAAGATAATAAATTTGCTTCATTTACAGGAACAACAGAGAAGCAATCCTGTGCCTTTCTCTGTGCCGGAGTCCAGTGTCTCCCAGGGCCTCTGTATGTGGTTAGACAGACGGTTCCCTGCACAAATAAGGATGTTCCACGGAGAAGGTGGGGGAAACTGAAATCCACCCTAAGCTGTGTCCACCATGCCATTTCTTTTGGCAAGAGGCTGCATCTGCCTGAGGAGGGCACCCTGTCTCCTCCATACAAGAGACCGTAAGGGCCAGCAGCTGCCTTGCATCTCCCCACATAACCTCTCCCTGCCTCTTAACATTTTCCTGTTTTCCTCTCTGTTCTTCCTTCTTCATCTCCTCCCTGTCTCCACCTGACCAGAGAACCCAGAGACATTCCTTAGTCCACAGGTGGCAAGAAGGCACCTTATCCTGTTTAAGCCCATTTTATCAAACACTGTTGATTAACAGGATTTTACTTTATTCTTATTATTTTTTTTTAATGAGGCAAGGTCTTGCTATGTTGCCCAGGCTGTCCTCAAACTATTGGGCTCAAGCAATCCTCGCCTCTAGACCTCCTGAGTACCTGGGATTATAGGCACGTGCCACCATGCCTGGCTTCTGATTATCAGGATTTTATGGGGGTCTTGGGGTTTTGTTTTGTTGGTTTTTTTGTTTATTTGTTTGTTTTTGAGACAGGGTCTCGCCTTCATCCACTGCAGTGATATAATAATGGCTCCCTGCAGTCTCAACTTCCTGGGCTCAAGTGACGTTCCCATCTCAGCTTCCCAAGTAGCTGGGTCTATAGACACATGCCGCCACACCCAGCTAATTTTTTTTTTTTTTTTTAATTTTTGCAGAGACAGTGTCTCACTATATTGCCCAGGCTGGTCTCAAACTCCTGAGCTCAAGTGATCCTCCCACCTCAGCCTCCCAAAGTGCTGGGATTACAGGCGTGAGCCATCACACCCAGGCTTGATTACCAGGATCTTAAAAGGAACATTTGTACCAGTAAATATGAGGGAAGAAGTCCTAGTTCTTTTCTGAGTCTCAAAAACCACATGTCACACATCTAGGAGAATCCCACTTTGACCAATATCATTCTTGTCCATAAAGCTCATGTATTAAATATGATTATATTTTTACAATTTGAAGATAGCATTTTTCAGATCATTTTTGACACAGATAAAAGTATCGGGGCTGGGACATCTATGGGGATTATGGGTTTTTTGTTTGTCTGTTTGTTTTTGAGACGGAGTCTTACTCTGTCACTCAGGCTGGAGTGCAGTGGCGTGATCTGGGCTCACTACAACCTCCACCTGCTGGGTTCAAGCAATTCTCCTGCCTCAGCCTCCATAGTAGCTGGGATTGCAGGCCTGTGCTACCACATCCTGCTGATTTTTGTATTTTTAGTAGAGACAGGGTTTCACCATGTTGGGCAGGATGGTCTCAAACTCCTGACCTCAAGTGATCTGCCCACCTCAGCCTCTCAAAGTGCTGAGATTGCAGGCAAGAGCCACCACACCCGGCCCAGATTATGTTTTATAAGTATTAAACTACTCCAAATCTACTGCTTGTGGTGTGAATGTCCCCTTCAAAATTCAGGGTGAAATTTATCCGCCATTGTAACAGTATCAAGAGGTACAGCCTTTAAGAGGTTATGAGGGCTCCACCCTCATGAATGGATTAATACCATTATCATGGGAGTGAGTTCCTGATAAAAAGGATGTGTTCAGCCTCTCCTCTTGCTCTCTGTTTCCTACACTTCCTTGCCATGGATAACCCTCATAAATGCCAGCTCTATGCTCTTGGATTTCTCAGCCTCCAGAAGTGTGAGCCAAGTGAACTTCTGTTCTTTATAAATTATCCAGCCTGTGGTATTCTGTTATAGGAGCAGAAAACAGACCAAGACATCTACCATTTTTTGCGTCTATGCTAACATATTTTTTCAGAGTTTAATATCAGTTTTCTATAACATCTCTAACAAATTACCACAAACAGAGTGACTTAAAACAACACAAATGTATTATCTTACAGTTCTTGGAAATCAAAATTCTGAAATGGGTCTCACTGGGCTAAAATCAAGGCATCACCGCAGCTGTGTTCCTTCTGGAGGCTCATGGGCTTCCTTTTCCTTTCCAGCTTCTAGAACCACGCATATTTCTTAACTGGTGGCCCCTTCCTATGACCGTAAAGTCAGCAACATTGAGCCAAGTTCTTCTCTTGCTGCCATCTCTCTGTCCTGTCATGTTTCCTCTTCCACACTGAAGGATCACATTGGGCCCACCTTGATCATCTCTCTCCTTTAAAGTCATCTGATTAGCAACATCAGTTCCATTTTCTACCTTAATCCCCCTTTTGGGACCTAATACATTCACCTTTTCCAGGAATTCAGATGTGGGTATCTCTAAAAGGTCATTATTCTAACTACCATGAGTTGTACTGTTTGCATTGTAAAATAATGATATACACTGTGAATCTCCAAATGGAAACTCTCTATGTTGAGTTACTTAAAAAGAAAAGAGGGTGCACATGTACCCTAACTTAAAATATAATTAAAAAAAAAAAGAGGATGATGACTAATCTCTTTGAACACTGTTGTCAGCCCTACCTTTGCTTGATGTCTTTGAATCAGTCTTGAATTGTCTGTTTCATATTATTTTTCTACACATTACAGCTAATATTTATAATTTGCCTAAAATGACTATCTGGCAGTTAAATTCAACTGAGAGTTGAATCATAACTCCTTTAAGATCCTTTTTTTTTCGTTTTTCCTTTTTTTTTTTTTTTTTTTTTTGAGATGGAGTCTCGCTCTGTCACCCAGGCTGGAGTGCATTGGTGCCATCTCAGCTCACTGCAACCTCTGCCTCCTGGGTTCAAGCAATTCTCCTGCCTCAGCCTCCCAAGTAGCTGGGATTACAGGCACCTACCATCATGGCTGGCTAATTTTTGTATTTTTTTAGTGGAGACGGGGTTTCACCATGTTGGCCAGGCTGGTTTCGAACTCCTGACCTCAGGTAATCTGCCCGCCTTAGCCTCCAAAGTGCTGGATTACAGGTGTGAGTGACTGTGCCCAGCCAAGATCATCTTTCTAAAATCAGAATATGTATACATTTAAGAAATTATATGTCTTAAATTTTGGAGGCTTCTTTATACTTTAAGAATAACTTATAATTTAAGTTATAAAATGAAGTAATAATGTATTTCTGTATTACTCCTTAGGTTATTTGGCAGCTAATCCTAGATTTGGATCATTGCCCAAAGTTGCACGTAAGTCACAGAAATAAAAAAGCAAGCCAAGTGTGGTGGCTCACATCTGTAATCCCAGGAATTTGGGAGGCTGAGGTGGGTAGATTGCTTGAGTCCAGGAGTTCCAGACCAGCCTGGGCAATATGGTGAAACCTTGTATCTATTTTAAAAAATAATAATAAATAAAATTTTGAAAAAAAAAAAGACATTACTAGCAACTGGAGATATGAATGTCCAGCTTAACTAAACTGCCTGTATTGACTTTTTAAAAAATCAACCTCTATTTTCTGCTAGTCTGCATTTCTTAGTTCACTCAACACTTTCTGATATACAGCTTAGCAGTAGGGACTTCTTCTTAGACCATCCTTAAAGCATGGACTAAGAAGGACTGGAAGGATATATAATGAGAGTATCAGTAGCAGAGCCTCTGAATGATAGATCCTTTATGGATTTTTATTTTCCTCTTTTGCCCTGGCCAGTCTTTTCAAAATGTTTTCTACAATGGATATAAAAAATCAGTAATTTTTAAGAATCAGGGGATTTCTAATAATAGAGTAACCACAAACTTGGGGTTTCATCTTCCTTCACCCAGCATCAACAGATGTTTTATGTACAAAAAGGACACATTTTAGTTGATAGTCTGAAACCGCATTCATTCCTAGCAGGAAGAACAGATTTGAGATCTCTTCCATAGGAGGGTCCCTCTCCCTCGTAGGCAAGAGAGACTGAAACTCCCCACTACTCCAAGGCCATAAGGAAGATTAGGGGCATTTCTACCAAGTGATTTGGAAGCTGCCTATAGCCACAACCCAGCCACCTTCCCCTGCCCCAGTGGCCTCAACCATTTGCTTGACAGGTGGGCCCTCTCTGGCCATCTGTCTCCAGGACAGCACTATGGCTTGCTCTGTCCTGCCCCTTCCACCACCAGTTCAAAGTTGAGATGGGGAAGTCTCCAGTTCCCAATCCTGTTCTTTTCTAATAGAGACTTCCTTCTCAGAGTCTTCATTCATTGATTTAGCATGGTCCTTTTAATTTTAAAATTACCAGCGTTAATTTTTAAAGCTCCGGAAGATAACTAATGGAGAAGATTCTCAACCTTTAAATGACCTCTCCCAACCTGCTTTTACAGTTGCTGGTCTCTTGGGATTTGGCCTTGGAAAGGTATCATACATAGGAGTATGCCAGAGTAAATTCTATTTTTTTGAAGATCAGCTTCGTGGGGCTGGTTTTGGTCCACAGCATAACAGGTTTGTAATCTGTTTGGTTGAGGGATTGTAATGTAATTATAAGAAATTAAATGAAAGATTATACATTATTTATAATATTAAACACACTTTTTAAAATTCACATGTTAAAAAAGTTTTAATCCTCAAGTTTAGCAATGACTTTGTTACTACACTTACCAATTTCATTTGTTTGATAAATATTTAATGGGAACCTACTGTGTTCAAACATTGTGTAAGTTTCTAAAGAATTCCTCAATGAGCAGTTATGGCTTCCACCATCACAGAGTTACACAAAACTTTAACAGGTTTCTTTACTGCAGGGCTTCTCAGAGCTTTTTCTATGTTAATACTGTATATATCATGATTCTCTATAGGGGAAATAGGCAATATGACTTTGGAGTTAATGGCATCACCTCTGCTGTTATAGTACTTGGGTTGAAAACCAGTTCTACCGCTTAACTAAGTTGTGTGACCCTGCAAGTTTCTTAAGCTCTCTGATCTTCAATTTCCTTATCTGTATAAAATAGTGATCAGGATAGTTTTTATGAGATGTAAAGAATAGAAATGATTATTCGTGACACTCAGTAAGTGCTCAGTAAACATTAGCTATTTTTACTATAGTAGTTACCAGATTAGTGTTGGGAACACATTTCTCTAAAGACCCCTCACTGGTCACAGTGGGTTCTATCTGAGAAGCAGCACAATATGATGAAAACAAACTGGACTAGAAGTCAAAACACTCACGTTCTTTTTCTAACTATGTGACTTTGGAAAGCCATGTTCCCTAGTCCTGTAGTAATAGATGGGCCCTTCAATACTGTCTCTTTCTGATGAGCTGCATGAGACCCAAAGAGCTGTAGAGACCTTCTGAAGGTGACATCATTAGCAGTGGGTGGAAAAGGGTCTTTCACCTCAGATCATCTGTTTTCCAAACCCTTACTCTTCCCATTGCAGAAGCAAGGCCACCAGAGAATCATTAATTCCATTTTTACAGACAACACCAACTTCAGTCCATCCTTGCTAAGTTGTGTTTTAGAGTCAGCTTGCTGAGGAGGAATTGACCACATGATTCTGGTCTGTGTAGGAAAAGAAAGAAAAAGTATCACAAGTAAAGGAGAGAATTTTGTTGACTGCTTCCTCTTCCTCTTCAATTTCAGGAGTGTCTTTTGCAATTAACCAACTTTGGATTTCAGAATAATTATGAACACAAGACTGAAATCTACATTTTTCAGACAATGTCCATTGTGAAAGGAGGTGACTGAAGTAACTAGTTTCCAGGGCTCCTTTAAGCTCTGCGTTCTGTGGTTTCATTTTGCCTTCCCACTGCCAGCCACAGCAGCCCCACTCTGGGCTTGCATTCATAGCTGATAACCAATTGCTATGCCCTATGTGAAGGGCCATTATCAGCAAATCTGAGAGGCAATAATTCACAAAGCTATTTGATTTCTTAATTAAGGGAAAGTAGAGTGGGGCACTTAACTAAGTTGAGGTGGAGGGGAGGGTTAAGGAATAGGCATTAAGGACTTCTTGGAGTAGGTGATGATGCTTGACTTGAATCTTAATAGATTCAAGTAGTAGTAGCTACAGCAGAAGCTATGACAAGAGGAGATATAGCAGGAGCTATGGCTATAGTAGGAGCTATAGCAGGAGCTATGGCTATAGTAGGAGCTATAGCAGGGTTGAAGAAGGGGATTCCAGGCCAGGAATAGTATGTAGAGAAGAGAAATTTTCATTTTTAAAGGGAACCATAAATACATCCTACGGCTGGAGCATAAAGAGCTATTGGGAAAGGCAGAGAACAAGCTGGAAGTCCAGGCAGGTAGAAGTCAGCTCCTGAAGGAATTTATGCCATGCTAAGGATTTTCACTTCATTCTCAAAGCAATGGGGGGAAATAAGTGAGAGAAAGGGGTTCCTCATCCATCTCTTCAGGGTTTTACAGTAGCAGTTTCTGGCCTTGCTACCTTCGAAGTAATCCTTCCCACCCAGGCCAGATTGAATGAGTTTTCTATCATTCAAAACACATCCTATCACTGTCCTGCATAAAGTTATCCTGTTGCCAACTCCTCATAGTAGTAAATGTTTGTTGAATTTGTAAGATTATAAAACTTTAATGCAAGAAGGGACTCGACATCTATTCCATATTCAAATGTGAATATTATTCTAGAATGAAGCTGTGCATTTTCCTTGGTATCCTAAGGAAACTGGGACAAGTTCGGCAAACTATAAACCAGAAATTCTGGAAGTATCATTTTTTTAATTTAAAAAATTATGTGTATATATATATATGTGCACATGTGTGTCCAAACCTAACTCCATAGGCATATAGTTTAATCCTGGATCAACATACTGTGTGTTTATAATTTTTATGCTATTGTTAGAAATTACTTGAATTCAAAAAGAATCAAGATGTTCAAACCCTGCCTGACCCTGACCACAAATACAACCATGTGTTTCAACATAAAGCTCATTATTGGCTTTTTGAGGGGTGAAATATTGGGGGCCATAAACCAAGCAACAACTCCTATTATTTCTGAAAAAACAAGGCTAGTGAACTTTAGCATAGACTATATATCTAGTATTGTTTTAAAGGCAGGTGCAGTGGTTCATGCCTGTAGTCTCAGCTACTTAAGAGGGGTGGGTGAGAGGATCCCTTGAGCCCTCGAGACCAACCTGGGCAACATAGATAGACTATTCCCCCATCTCTATTTTTTAAATTATGTTAAAATAATAAGAATAATAATATTATGTAAAGACTAGAGCTTCCAGTGTCAAAGTACAAACCACTGTCTATTTTTGCTTCTCTTCTAGGCACTGCCTGCTTACCTGTGAGGAATGCAAAATAAAGCATGGATTAAGTGAGAAGGGAGACTCTCAGCCTTCAGCTTCCTAAACTTTGTGTCTGTGACTTTCGAAGTTTTTTAAACCTCTGAATTTGTAAACATTTAAAATTTCAAGTGTACTTTAAAATAAAATACTTCTAATGGAACAAAAATATCGTGTCTGTCACTCACTGAAATGTATTCCATGGAAGGCTCTGAAGTGAACTAAACATTACATGTTTTTCTACTCTTTAAGAACATGTTGGGGCATGGCGCAGTGGCTCATGCCTGTAATGGGAGGCCGAGGCAGACAGATCATTTGAGGTCAGGAGTTCATGACCAGCTTGGCCAACATGGTGAAACCCTGTCTCTGCTAAAAATATAAAAATTAGCCAGGTGTGGTGGCACATGCCTGTAATCCCAGCTACTGAGAGGGAGGCTGAGGCAGGAGAATCACTTGAACCTGGGAGGTAGAAGTTGCAGTAAGCAGAGATTGTGCCACTGCACACCAGCCTGGGTGGCAGAGCTAGACTCCATCTCATACACACGCACACACGCACACACGCAAAACATGTTAGAAATCCTCACACATACAAATGACATTGCCCCCCCACCAACTTGCTTACAGCTAAATAAGATAATTAAGTCTTCTCAGATTAGCCTCTATCCTTTCTTTTACTCTGCTTTTTTTTTTTTTTTCAGTGTTTTAAGTTCTCTGATAGAGAACTGGAATTAATGTTGAAGAAGTTAGGAAGTCATGACCCCAAGAAAATTAATGTGTATGGAGATAGAAACAGGTCAAGACAGTCTTACAGCTATGAGGAGTGCTTCCTAAAATGTAGGAGCAACATTTTTAACTTAGTGAAAAGTGTTTCATTGGAAAGTGTCATAATATGAATCAACTATCCTTTCAGTGCTCCAGGTGACCTTATGGTTCAACAGTATGGTTCAGCAGTAGAGTCTGGAAGTGACTGTTATCTTTTTTTTTTTTTGAGACAGGGTCTTGCTCTGTCACCCAGACTGGAGTGCAGTGGCATGATCATAGCTCACTGCAGCCTCGACCTCCCAGGTTCAAGCCACCTCCCACCTCAGCCTCCCTAGTAGCTAGGACTACAGGTGTGTGCCACCATGCCCTCTATTTTTGTAGTTTTGTAGAGATGGGGTTTTGCCATGTTTCCCAGACTGGTATTGAACTCCTGAGCTCAAGCAACCCACCTACCTCTGCCTCCCAAAGTGCTGGAATTACAGGTGTGAACCACCATGCCTGGCCTCATTGTCTTTAGGTTATCTGCTTAGCTAATGGGCACATGCTCGTGGGCAGCCCTCAAGAATGGGGTTCTTTTATATACTACTAGTTGCCTGAAACAAAAAACACAGCTTCCCAAACTGTTTCTCATTTCGCCCAAGGAACAGCTTATTTATGGGAGGAATCACTGGAATAATTAATACATGGAATGATAAATTTAGAATTCTAGGGAGTTCAGAGGTAACCAATGCAACTCCAGGAGTTGGACTCCTATTCTCCTGTCAGATTTGTTGCATGAAAACAACAACAACAAAATCCGGCAGGGTATGGTGCTCACACCTGTAATCCTAACACTTTGGGAGGCAAGGCAGGCAGATCACCAGAGGAGTCTGAGACCAGCCTGGCCAACATAGTAAAACACTGTCTCTACTAAAAATACAAAAAATCAGTCGGGTGTAGTGGTGCATGCCTGTAATCCCAGCTACTGGGGAGGCTGAGGCATGAGAATCTCTTGAATTGGAGAAGCAGAGGTTGCAGTGAGCCAAGATAGCGCCACTGCACTCCACTCTGGGCAACAGAGTGAGACTGTCTAAAAAAAACAAAAATAGGAAAAAAAAGAAATTCTTCCATGTGGGAACCTTTTGTTTTAGGTATGACAGGTTGTCTGAGCCCTACAGAAACACTGCTCTTGCTTCTTTGCAACTTCTCAGAAGAATACTTTATACATGTGTCACCATTTATATCAATATATAGGCAAGGTGCAGTGGCTCACGCCTGTAACCCCAGCACTTTGGGAGGCCAAGTGGATCACTTGAGGTCAGGAGTTTGAGAGCAGCCTGGCCAACATGATGAAACCCCACCTCTACTAAAAATACAAAAATTAGCCAGGTGTGGTGGCACATGCCTGTAGTCCCAGGTACTCAGGAGGCTAAGGCAGGAGAATTGCTTGAACCCGGGAGGCAGAAGTTGCAGTGAGCAGAGATAGTGCCACTGCACTCCAGCCTGGGTGACAGAGCAAGACTCTATCTCAAAATAAATAAATAAATATATATATACACACACACTTATATACATAAGGGGTGTGTGTACGTACACGTTTGGGATATATATAAGGGGTGTGCGTATGTACACGTTTGGGTTTTACTTAATACATCTTGAACATGTATTTTGGAAGTTAAAAGAGAAACTTTATTAAAAGTTAATTGTTTACATGAAATTATTTTAAACCTCAAATTATACAGAAGTTTTAATTTTTACATGAACATTAAGTGTAAGCCTCTTTTTATATTACGTATCCTATTTTTTTCAGTCCATTAAGTTTTATTTCTGTAAATCGGAATGCAAAGCCAATATCCTAGCATCTTAAATGCAAGTTTAACTCTTGGCTCTGATAACTAGCAGTTGGTGACTCTTTGTTATCTCAGCTACTGGCAAAAATTCAGAATTGGGCACATTTATTTCCTACTTGCCAGAAAATGATTTCCCAGGGATCAGAACATTTCACGTTGCTTAGCACAGCAAGTCAATGTAAAAAATCTATTCCAAGGTACTCGGGAAAGATACATGTATTTTATTTATTTTTATTTATTATTTATTTATTTATTTATTTATTTTTGAGACGGAGTCTTGCTCTGTCGCCCAGGCTGGAATGCAGTGGTGCAATCTCGGCCCACTGCAAGCTCTGCCTCCCGGGTTCATGCCATTCTCCTACCTCAGCCTCCCAAGTAGGTGGGACTACAGACACCTGCCACCAAGCCTGGCTAATTTTTTGTATTTGTAGTAGAGATGGGGTTTCATCGTATTAGCCAGCATAGTCTCGATCTCCTGACCTCGTGATCCACCCGCCTCAGCCTCCCAAAGTGCTGGGAATCCAGGGGTGAGCCACTGCACCCAGCCGATACATTTATTATTGTTGAAAGGAGCATTGTTTTTACTGCTGACATCTTCGTATTTCTTCTCAATCAAATTGGGTTTATTGCTTGGGCTTTCTACTTTTCCTACGTACAGAAGTTATTCATTGAAGCAGTTTATCATGGCAATCTATCTTACAGTGAAAGAAAATCAATAAGGAAAAAACCGGAAGTTCATCCAAGAGGCTTTGATTATTCTGCTGCCTATTTTTGGGGTGGGGTTTTGTTTTGTTTCTTTTTTTGCTGGGGGGGACAGAATCTCACTCTGTCGCCCAGGCTGCAGTTCAGTGGCACAATCTCGACTCACTGCAACCTCTGCCTCCCAGGTTCAAGTGATTCTCCTGCCTCAGCCTCCTCAGTAGCTGAGATTACAAGCACACACCACCACGGCCGGCTAAATTTTTGGCATTTTTAGTGGAGACAAGGTTTCACCATGTTGGCCAGGCTGGTCTCCAACTCCTGACCTCACAGGCACGAGGCACCACGCCCAGCTGCCTATGTATTGTGCATATTGGAAAGCTAGTACCTGGTGGAGAATGTCTGTTTCTTGTGTTAAAGGAACAGCACCTGCCTTTTGACATTTCACCATTACCAACACTCATCACAATGCTGGTCACAAGCTTATGAAAGCAGTATCTTCATGATAAAACAAAACAAAACAAAACAAAAAAGCCTTGGAAAAGAACAGCAAGATAAAATTGTAGATAAACTCACGTGAAGGAAAGAATGATGAGACTACACGGTAGTAAAAGTTGGATGTCTAACCAATTTTATTGGCAAACTTTCCCTAGGATGATATGGACTGACATTCTACAGTGAAGAAAATGCAAACCATCCCCTTATTTTGAATTTGGTTAATGGAATTTAAAATGTAACATTACTTTGTCCATGGATGCACTTACAAGAAGAGACAAACTTGATATCTGAAATCAGCAAACCTTGTCTAACACATTTGTAGTTCCTCTAGATAACATAATAAAATGTTTTTAACAGAGGGTAATGACACTAATGAAAATAAGATTCAACCAGAAAACACCAAAATGATTTCCTTAATTCCATGCACCCCTGTGGCACTCCAGTGACACCTAGAAATGTGTTTCTTTCTTGGCTTACATACAAGTGGATAACTAGAAAGGATGCTTTCAAGATATTTTTAGTTTCAAAGGCATTAACCAAACATCCCACCATTAGCTATGGTGATCATTTGTTCTAAATTTTGCCTCAGTTTGTGTGATCCTGGAATTCAAAAGTTATTACTATAAACTGTATTCTAATGAAATGTATGTTTTATAATTTAAAAAATAGTGGAATAATCATTTTGTGTTTGTTTCTCTTATCAAAATAGATCAGTGTTTCCAGAAAGATTCGTATGTTATAGATATTATACTATATATTATTACATGTATAAATAATATATGTAGCATATAATATACTATATATAATGCTTATTATATTTTTTAAATTCTCATTTAAACAAAGATATTCTCTTCCTTTGCTGTCGAATAGTTCATCTAGTTTAACATTATGAAAGTAATAAAAATATATTGAGTGATTTGATTAAGTAACAGTAATAAAAATGTATCTTGAATGATTTGATTAAGTAACGAAATGTAATGTAAATGTTGTGTAGGCAATTTTCTTGATATTCAAACAATGCAACCTGTTAATTGACAGAAAACCTCTCCATTTTGGAACTCTGCTCCCAAATTTCAACTATAAAATTCAGTTTTGTTAGACACTTGGAGTTGGCAGAGATTTCAGTGATTAACTCAGAGGCTGCAAAGAACAGGACCAGATGGACAATGTAATTGAGTGAAGCTGAGCTAGTGCATATTAAACAAAGGTGTATTCTTCACTTCCATACACAAAAATAGATAAGCCCACTGTTGCCAAATCTTCCACTTGTTCAATATTCAATGCAAGCAAATGCAAGTTTTTATGTGAAACCTCCCATTTTTAAAATATTCACATTATTTCATATATTTAAATATTGAGCACTTATTCTGTACTAGGAACTGTCCTAGGTCCTAGGAATATAGCAGTGAATACAACCAACAAAATCTCATCCTCCTGGAACTTATATTCTCATCACCAGTTCGTGGCTTGGGATCCAATCCGACCCCAACCCCGACCCCCACAATCGGCAGCACTCACTGTGGTAGTCTCCTCTGTATTGTCCCAGGAGGTGAGATTTCAGGACCCACATATGTAATTCCAAGGGAAGGACACCTACTGCTCAACAATGCAACCCAGTACGCTGCCCAGCTGTTAAATTCTTCAGAAAGTCTTACAGAGAGCCCAAGTTTGCTTCCTTCCTGTTCTAAACTGGAAATTCCTCCAAGATAGAAAGTGTACTCATTTTTTCTTATCTCTGAATCCTCAAGCAGCATACTTGCAGAGATGGGCATTTCATAAATGCTTGTCAACTTAAACCTGTAATTTGCCTATGGCTACAAAACACAATTCTCATTCCTCTTTTACAAAACAGCATTGAAATACTGGAAAGCATGCTTCCTGGAATTTGGCTAAAGGGCCCTAATTTTATTCACCATTGGAGTGGGTTTCCAGGCCTGTCACAACCTGGTCTTGGGACAGCTTTGGTCTATGGTGTCCTCATACACAAAAACTCCAAAAATGGATTGACCAGTTCAGAAAAGGGCAGAATTATTATAACTTTTGCTTTAGGCACCAGAACTGTTAGCAAAAGAGGCTCTGAATCAGGCCCTGTGCTTCAAATCCGGACTTCACCACTTACTACCTACTTGACTTTGGGTTGTTATTTATCTGCTCCAGGACTCAGTTTCCTCCTCTGTAAAATGGAAATAATATTAGACTTACCTGATATGTTTCTCACGAGAATTAAATGTGCTGATACTTACAAATTACTTAGAATAGTGCCTGGCTCAGAGTAACCACTCAATGGATGTTAGTTATTACTACTACTACTATTAATGAAATTTAAGAATATGTAATTAGATTGCATAGTAGATTGTTACTGGCCCTAATTATTAATACTCATCTCTCCTATACCCATGCCTTTTGCCATGCAATTTTGCATTACTTTTCTACTGTGAACAGGGGCATACTTACCTATCTTCTTGACCTTCAGCTTGTGGATATGACTTTAGGCAAAATATAGGCCCAAAATGAAGGTGTGCTGAAGTTCCAAACTTAGGCTTAAAGAGACCTTTTCTGTTTCCATTTCTGTCTCCATCATGGCTGTAAGAAAAACATGCCCAATACTAGATACAAAAGCAATAGCCTGAATGATGATCCATCACCTGTTGCCTAAGTTCTAATCCCTGTAATAAATCCCTTACTCTATATCATTGACAGCAGTTCTGCTGTTCTATAAAATCTTAATTCAAAAATTTGGTAGGAGGGCAGAGCAAGATGGCAGAATAGAAGGCTCCACTGATCATCCTCTCATCACAGGAACACCAAATGTAATAACTATCTACACACAAAAAAAGCACCTTCATAAGAACTAAAAATCAAGTGAGCACTCATAATACCTAGTTTTAACTTCGTATCACTGAAAGAGGCACTGAAGAAGGATGAAAGATAGTCTTGAATTTCCAATGCCACCCTTCTCCTATACCCCTGAACCACCTGCGTGGCAAAGAGAGAGAATCTGTGTGCTTGGGAGAGGGAGAGCACAACTGTGAGACTTTGTATTAAACTCAGAGCTGTTCTGTCACAGTGGGAATTGGCTGAACTCAGCTGATGCCTGCCCACGGAGGCAGCATTTAGACCATCCCTAGCCAGAAGGGAATCATCCATCACCGCGGAGTTCCAGCAAGCCTTCCCACCATGGGCTGAAGTGCTCTGAAACCGTAAGTAAACTTGAAAGACAGCATAGGCCACAAGGACTGCAACTCCAAGGCAAGTCTTAGTGCTAGGCTGTGTTTGGAGCCAGCAGTTGTCAGGGGAGTGCAACTACTGAGATACCAACAGAGCAGCTAAAAGAGTGCTTATGCTACCTCTCCCCAACCCCAGGTAGCACAGCTAGTGGCTCCAAAAGAGACACCTTTCTTCTGCTTGAGGAGAGGAGAGGCAGGAGTAAAGAGGACTTTTGTCTTGCATCTTGGATACCAGCTCAGCCACAGTAGAATAGAGCACCACTCAGAGTCAGGAGGCCCCTATTCCAACACCTAGCTCCTGGCCTACATTTCTAGACACACCCTGCGACATACGAGAACCCATTGCCTTGAAGGGAAGGACCCAGTCCTGGCACAATCCATCACTTGCTGACTAAAAAGCCCTTGGGCCCTGAATAACCAGCAGTGATACCCAAATATTACGTCATGGGGCTTTGGTGAGACTCTGAGACATGTTGGCTTTAGGTGATACTCGCCATATTCTCAGCCAGAGTGGTTACAGTAAGAGACTCCTTCTGCTTGAGGAAAGCGGAAGGAAAAGTAATGGGGACTTTGTCTTGCATGTTAGGTACTAGCTCGGCCACAGTGGAAAAGAGTACTGAGCAGGCTCTTGGGATCCCCAATTCCAGGACTTGGCTCTTGGACAAAATTTCTGGACCTTTCCTGGGCCATAGGGGAGCCCACTGCCCTGAAGAGTGACTCCCAGGCCAGGCAGCATTCACCACAAGCTGAATGAGACCCATCGGTGGTAGTCTGGCAGTATCTTTTGTGTGCACATGGTGGTGGTGGCCGTGAGGTGAGGGTCCTCTGCCTGTGGAAATGGGAGGGAAAAGTGGAAAGGACTGTGTCTCATGGTTTGAGGGCCAGCTCAGCTGCAGTAGAACACAGGTAGACTTTTCATTTTTAACTGCAGTCCCTGGTTCCTGGACAGCATCTCTGGACCTGCCTAGGGCCTCGGGGGATTTGCCACCCTGAAGGGAAGGATACACATCTGGCTGGCTTCACCATCTGCATGATTGTAGAGTCCTAATGCCTTGAGCAAACATAGGCAATAGCCAAGTAGTGACTACAACAAGCCTTAGATTACACCTAGGGCTGTGCTGGCTTTAGGTATAACCCACAGACTCAGTGGTGGTGGCCACAGGAGTGCTTGTATCATCTCATCCCCAGCCCCAGGAGGTTCAGCACAGATAGAGAGACTCTGTTTGGGATAAAGTAAGGGGAAGGAACAAGAGTATCTACATGGTAATCCAGAGAATTCTTCAGGATCTTATCTAAGACCACCAAAATAATACCTTTATGAGTCTGCAAGAACCATAGCATAACTGGGCTTGGGGTGCCCTCTAATGCAGATACAACTTAGATCACAACACCCAAGTCTTTTTGAATACCTAGAAAGCCTTTCCAAGAAGAACGGGTACAAACAAACCCAGACTGCAAAGACTACAATAAATACATAACTCATCAACACCCAGAGACCAGTGAATATCCACAAGCATCAACACCATCCAAATGAACTAAATAAGGCACTAATGACCAATGCTGGAGAAACAGAGATATGTGATCTTTCACAGAGATAATACAAAATAACTGATTTGAGGAAACACAATGAAATTCAAGATAACCCAGAGAAGGAATTGAGAATTCTATCAGATAAATTTAACAAAGAGATAAAAATAATTTAAAAGAATCAAGCAGAAATTCTGGCAGTGAAAAATGCAAATTTTGACATACTAAAGAACGCGTCAGAGTCTCCTGATACCAGAAGTAATCAAGCAGAAGAATTAGTAAGCATGAAGACAGGTTATTTGAAAACACATAGTGAAAGGAGACAAGAAAAAAGAATTAAAAAAAAAAAAAATGAAACATGCCTACAAGATCTAGAAAACAGCCACAAAAGGGCAAATCTATGAGGTATTGTTCTTAAAGAGGAGGGGGAGAAAAAGATAGAGGTAGAAAGTTTATTTGAAGACGTAATAACAGAGAATTTCCCAAACCTAAAGAAAGAGATCAATATCCAAGTACAAGGAGGCTATAGAACAACAAGCAGATTTAACCCAAAGAAGACTATCTCAAGGCATTTAATAATCAAACTTTCAAGGGTCAAGGATAAAGGATCCTAAAAGCAGCAAGAGAAAAGAAACAAATAACATACAATGAAGCTCCAACACGTCTAGAAGCAGACTTTTCAGTGTAAAACATACAGGCCAGGAGACAGTGGCATGACATATTTAAAGAGCTGAAGGAAAAATATTTTAGCCTAGATTAGTATGTTTGGTGAGAATATCCTTCAAAATTAAAAAGAAATAAACACTTTCCCCAACAAACAAAAGCTGAGGTATTTCATCAAAACCAGACCTGCCCTACAAGAAATGTTAGAGGTAGTACTTCAATCAGAAAGAAAAGGATGTTAATGAGCAATAAGAAATCATCTGGGGGGATTAGCCCAAGATGGTCAAATAGGAACAGCTCCAGCCTCCAGCTCCCAGCGTGAGCAACACAGAAGATGGGTGATCTCTGCATTTTAAACTGAGGTACCGGGTTCATCTCACTGGGGCATGTCAGACAGTTGGCGCTAGTCTGCAGGTGTAGCCCTACCAGCAAGAGCTGAAGCAGGGTGAGGCATCACCTCACCTGGGAAGTGCAAGGGGGAAGGGAAATCCTTTTCCTAGCCAAAGGAAATTGAGACACACAACACCTGGAAAATCGGGTAACTCCCACCCTAATACTGTGCTTTACCAAAGGTCTTAGCCAATGGCACACCAGGAGATTATATCCCACACCTGGCCCAGAGGGTCCCATGCCCACAGAGCCTCCCTCATTGCTAGCACAGCAGTCTGAGATCTAACTGCAAGGTGGCAGCAAGGCTAGGGGAGGGGCGCCCACCATTGCTGAAGCTTAAGTAGGTAAACAAAGCCCCCGGGAAGCTCAAATTGGGTGGAGCCCACCACAGCTCAAGGAGGCCAGCCTCCCTCTGTAGACTACTCCTCTGGGGACAGGACATAGCTAAACAAAAAGCAGCAGAAACCTTGGCAGAGGTAAAAGCCCCTGTCTGACAGCTTTGAAGAGAGCAGTGGATGTCCCAGCACGGAGGTTGAGATCTGAGAACAGACAGACTGCCTGCTAAAGTGGGTCCCTGATCCCTGAGTAGCCTAAATGGGAGACATCTGCCACTAGCTGCAGACCGATACCTCACACCTCACATGGCAGTGTACACCCGTGAGACGAAGCTTGCAGAGCAAGAGTCAGACAGCACCACTCGTTGTTCAGCAATATTCTATCTTTTGCAGCCTCTGCTGCTGATACCCAGGCAAACAGGGTCTGGAGTGGACCTCAAGCAAACTCTAACAGACCAGCAGCTGAGGGTCCTGACTGTTAGAAGGAAAACTAACAAACAGAAAGGACACCCACACCAAAACCCCATCAGTACATCACCATCATCAAAGACCAAAGGCAGATAAAACCACAAAGATGGGGAAAAAGCAGGGCAGAAAAGCTGGAAATTAAAAAATTCAGAGCGCATCTCCCCCTCCAAAGGAACGCAGCTCTTCGACAGCAACGGAACAAAGCTGGATGGAGAATGACTTTGATGAATTGAGAGAAGGCGGCTTCGGCTGATCAAACTTCTCAGAGCTAAAGGAGGAACCATGTAATCAGTGCAAAGAAACTAAAAACCTTGAAAAAAGAATGGATGAATGGATAACTAGAATAATCAAGGCAGAGAAGACCTTACAAGAACTGATAGAGATGAAAACCATAACACAAAAACTATGTGACAAATGCATAAGCTTCAGTAACTGACTCGATCAACTGGAAGAAAGAGTATCACCGACTGAAGATCAAATGAATGAAATGAAGCGAGAAGAGAAGTGTAGAGAAAAAAGAGTAAAAAGAAATGAACAAAGCCTCCAAGAAATATGAGATTATGTGAAAAGACCAAATCTACGTCTGACTGGTGTGCCTGAAAGTGACGGGGAAAATGGAACCAAGTTAGAAAACACTCTGCAGGATACCATCCAGGAGAACTTCCCCAACCTAGTAAGGCAGGCCAACATTCAAATTCAGGAAATACAGAGAACGCCACAGATACTCCTCGAGAAGAGCACCTCCAAGACACGTAATTGTCCGATTCACCAAAGTTGAAATGAAAGAAAAAATGTTAAGGGCAGCCAGAGAGAAAGGTCAGGTTACACACAAAGGGAAGCCCATCAGACTAACAGCAGATCTCTTGACAGAAACTCTCCAAGCAAGAAGAGAGTGGGGGTCTATATTCAACATTCATAAAGAAAAGAATTTTCAACCCAGAATTTCATATCCAGCCAAACTAAGTTTCATAAGTGAAGGAGAAATAAAACTCTGTACAAACAAGCAAATGCTTAGAGATTTTGTCACCACCAGGCCTGCCCTACAAGAGACCCTGAAGGAAGCACTAAACATGGAAAGGAACAACAGATACCAGCCATTGCAAAAACATGTCAAAATGTAAAGTCCATCGAGGATAGGAAGAAACTGCATCAACTAGCGAGCAAAATAACCAGCTAATATCATAATGACAGGATCAGCTTCACACATAACAATATTAACCTTAAATGTAAATGGACTAAATGCTCCAATTAAAAGACACAGACTGGCAAATTGAATAAAGAGTCAAGACCCACAAGTTTGCTGTATTCAGGAGACCCATCTCACATGCAGAGACATACATAGGCTCAAAATAAAGGGATGGAGGAAGATCTACCAAGCAAATGGAAAACAAAAAAAAGCAGGGGCTGCAATCCTAGTCTCTGATAAAACAGACTTTAAACCATCAAAGATCAAAAGAGACAAAGAAGGCCATTACATAATGGTAAAGGGATCAATTCATCGGGAAGAAATAACTATCCTGAATATATATGCACCCAATACAGGAGCACCCAGATTCATAAAGCAAGTCCTTAGAGACTTACAAAGGGACTTGGACTCCCATACAATAATAATGGGAGAGTTTAACACCCCACTGCCAACATTAGACAGATCAACGAGACAGAAAGTTAACAAGGATATCCAGGAATTGAACTCAACTCTGCACCAAGCAGACCTAATAGACATCTACAGAACTCTCCACCACAAATCAACAGAATATACATTCTTCTCAGCACCACATCACACTTATTCCAAAATTGACCACATAGTTGGAAGTAAAGCCTCCTTAGCAAATGTAAAAGAACAGAAATTATAACAAACTGTCTCTCAGACCACAGTGCAATCAAACTAGAACTTAGGACTAAGAAACTCAATCAAAACTGCTCAACTACATGGAAACTGAACAGCCTGCTCCTGAATGACTACTGGATACATAACAAAATGAAGGCAGAAATAAAGATGTTCTTTGAAACCAATGAGAACAAAGATACAACATACCAGAATCTCTGGGACACATTTAAAGCAGTGTGTAGAGGGGAAATTATAGCACTAAATGCCCACAAGATAAAGCAGGAAAGATCTAAAATTGACACTCTAACATTATGCAATAAAAAACGATAAAGGGGATATCTCCACTGACCCCACAGAAATACAAACTACCATCAGAGGATACTATAAACACCTCTACAAAAATAAACTAGAAAACCTAGAAGAAATGGATAATTTCCTGGACACTTACATTCTTCCTAGACTAAACCAGGAAGAAGTTGAATCCCTGAATAGACAATAGCAGGCTCTGAAATTGAGGCAACAATTAATAGTTAGCAACCAAAACAAGTCCAGGACCAGACAGATTCACAGCTGAATTCTACCAGAGGCACAAGGAGGAGTTGGTACCATTCCTTCTGAAACTATTCCAATCAATAGAAAAAGAGGGAATCCTCCCGAACTCATTTTATGAGGCCAACATCATCCTGATACCAAAGCCTGGCAGAGACACAACAAAAAAAGAGAATTATAGACCAATATCCCTGATGAACATCAATGCAAAAATCCTCAATAAATACTGGCAAACCAAATCCAGCAGCACATCAACAGCTTATCCACCATGATCAAGTGGGCTTCATCTCTAGGATGCAAGGCTGGTTCAACGTACGCAAATCAATAAATTTAATTCAGCATATAAACAGAACCAAAGACAAAAACCCCATGATTATCTCAATAGATGCAGAAGAGGCCTTTGATAAAATTCAACAGCCATCCTGCTAAAAACTCTCAACAAATTCACTATTGATGGAACGTATCTCAAAATAGTAAGAGCTATTTATGACAAACCCACAGCCAATATCATACTGAGTGGGAAAAAACTGGAAGCATTCCCCTTGAAAACTGGCAGAAGACAGGGATGCCCTCTCTTACCACTCCTATTCAACATAGTTGAACATGGCTAGGGCAATCAGGCAAGAGAAAGAAATCAAGGGTATTCAGTTAGGAAAAGAAGAAGTCAAATTGTCCCTGTTTGCAGATGACATGATTGTATATTTAGAAAACCCCATTGTCTCAGCTCAAAATCTCCTTAAGCTGAAAAGCAACTTCAGCAAAGTCTCAGGATACAAAATCAATGTGCAAAAATCACAAGCATTCTTATACACCAGTAACAAACAAACAGAGCCAAATCATGAATGAACTCCCATTCACAATAGCTTCAAAGAGAAGAAAATACCTAGGAATCCAACTTGGCAAGGGATGTAAAGGACCTCTTCAAGGAGAACTACAAACCACTGCTCAGTGAAATCAAAGAGGACACAAACAAATGGAAGAACATACCATGCTCATGGATAGGAAGAATCAATATCGTGAAAATGGCCATACTGCCCAAGGTTATTTATAGATTCAATGCCATCCCCATCAAGCTACCAATGACTTTCTTCACAGAA